TTCTGGCTTACGTTCATGTCTCTCTCCCTGCTTTTCCTTGACTTTTACCCTGTTTTTGCTGCTTAAATGATTTCATGTTTCCTGATCTTTAATAAACAAATATCAAGGTAGAAAGATATTTTTTGCTAGCTGTACTGAGTGGTACATGTGCTTTCTCTGATCGGGATATAAGAATTGACTGAGAGGGTGTTGGTGCAAACCAGACTGAAAATGATCCAACAACAAGAATTAAGTAATGACATTTCCCAGTATTTTGTCTGTCTCCTTACCTCTTCTTAAGAATGGTTGGGCTGATGGTTATCAGGGTGGTTTTGGTACCCACATCTTCAGGGAAATCCAGAGGAGGCAGACTGAATCTGAACTGGGGCATAGAAAGAAAGTACAAAACAAATTTGCATCCATTCTAAATATTTTTAAAATTACTATTATTATTTTGTATTCTCTAAATCAGCAGGAATCAAATGAGCCAATCTGCTTTTTATAGTTAAAGCTGAGCAGGGTTACTTCTACACTAGTTCATGGACAACCTACGCATTATGTTTCAGATATTGTCTTATCCCATTTTTTTTCAGAAATAATGTGAGATAACTTTTTCTCTTGGAATGCTAAAAGCAGAGACCCTTACAAAGCATCACTGATTTTTTTTTTTCTTGATGTAGGCCCTTCATAATTTGTTCCTTGTCACTTTTTAAACCCTTTCTTTGCTCCTGCATTCAGTTGGTTTGTGTTAACTTTCACAACTACAGCATTCCAAATTCAGCCCTTCATTGGCAGGTTCTTTTTCCCAAGATGAATTAATTCGTCCTGGGAAATTAATTGATTAATTACTTTTGATCACAAAACATAACATGTAGAAAATGAATCATTGGTTGGTCTCCCCAAAAGATATAGAAGAAATAGAAGTGGAAAAAGGAACTGAATATTGTTGGTTGATTCATGTGGATTAGTGGCATGAGTGAACAGGAACAAATGGATTAAGGACACGAAAGTCTAGATAATTGGAGTTAATTGATAGAGTCAGACTGGGGTCATAAACTATTGAACTTTCACCCCTCAACAGAACATGCCTACAAGCTCTGTGGTTAAGTCTGCAAAAGAGGTGAAACAGGAAGATATTGATCAGGTGTGAAGTTAGCTAGCAGAAGAACAGGAGCGGACACGTAAATGTGTATTCAGATAAAGC